CCGTAAACCCCAACCCCCTAAACCCAAACCTCCAAATCCCAAACCCCTGAGCCCTAAACTCAAACCCCTACACCAAAGCCCAGAGTCCCTAAGAGCCCCCTTAGGCAAAGAAGGCTACCTGGCGCTGCGGCTTCGTCATCCGCCGCTTGGGCGGAGGCTGGTGCCGAAGGCTCAGCAGCTGCCTTCACGGGGGGGGGGGAGGGGTTTAGGGTTGAGGGTTCAGGGTTTGGAGTTTTAGAGTTCGTGGCGTTGGGCTTGGGGCTGAGGGCTTAGGGATTGGGAGCAGAGGGCTTAGGAATTATCAGATTTAGGGCGTTTAGGGTTTGGGATTACGGCTTGGGGTCTTGCTTTGGGGCTACTTATGCTTGCCCTAAAGGTCCAAGGATCCAAATAATTGGGCTTTAGGTCCGAAATACCATTCATATACACATATAGTCATATACAAAATATATTTATATGTATATCTGTATATATAGATATAGTATTTGGGCCCTCAACCCCCATATCATTGGGCCCTTGGACCCTTAGGGTTGATGCTTTAGGGGCCGCTGCTGTTCCCAGGGAACCACAAATTTAGGCGCCGATCCTCCAACAAACTAACATGGAAGCCCAAAAGGGACCCTACAAAGACTCGTGTCTTTTGCACAGCAAAAAACATGGCTGTATACTACTATACATGTTGGTTTCCATGCTTGTTTGGTGGAAGGTGGTTTGGGCCCCTAATTTGGGACCCTAAACTCTAAACCTTAAGCCCTAAACCCCTTACTTATCTGCTCTGGGAGCCTACCCGCCCAGTAAGGGGTTGGACCGACCCCGGACGACGCATAGTCAGCCTGCATAAGCGTGCCAATGAGTAGGATCCTTTCGTGAGGCCAGGGTTCAGGGGTTCGGCCTAAAGACTTTACAGTTTAGGGTTTGTTGTTTTTCTTTGGTTTAGGGTTTGGGGTTTAGGGTTCAGGTTTGGGGTTTAGGGTTGGGGGTTTAGGATTCGCTGTTTAGGGTTAAGGGTTGGGGTTTAGGGTTTAGGTTGGGGGTTTAGGACTGGGGTTTTAGGGTTTAGGGTTTGGGATTTGTGTAGATGTTGCGGTCCCAAGCGGAGATGTGCTTTGGAGCGAAAATCTTGCGAAACGGGCCAGGCATTCAGGGAGATTATTCGTCACTGCTCCCTAATATACCCCCCTCCCCCCCGCATCCCAAATATTCTCCCTTGTATGATGCGGGAGGTTTACTCTGAGGGGATGGGATTACTTAGCTCACAGTACCCCAGGAAGAAAAACAGGATCTTTCCCTATCACCCCGTTCAAAGGAACAACTGATATTCCCTAAGGGTCTGAGTGCCCCATAACCATATACTTACCCCATACCTGTATTACAATTACAAATTCCCAAACCCCAAGCAACCAACCATTGTGTATATGGACCCTTATTGAACTGGAAATTGCAATATGAGCTATATAGGCTAAACTCCTAGGATCACCCTTAATAAGCCCAATAATACGCCCCGATATATTCCCCTATATGATCCCCTAAAACCTAAACCCTAAATCCTAAACCCTAGATCCGGAAGCCTAAAACCTACATAATCCCTTATAAATTATATATAACTAAGGAGTTTAGATTAGACCCTCCTCCTACCCTCTATTAGGGCCTAAGTACCCACAATTAGGAACCATATATCCCCAATTAAGGGTACAAGGAGGGTCCTGGTAGAAAAACTTAACACCTACATACTCCCATATATATTTATAACCCCAGTTTCCATTTCATTTTCCATTTTCTTTTCCATTTGATTCTCCATTACCCCAATATTAACCCATAAAACTGTAGGGACTAGATTATAGCTCATATCCACACCTCCGGCTGCCGCGAGGCTGAGCGCCGGCGCGGGGCTCGCAGCCCACCTGGAGGCATTTCCAAAACGGTTTAGGGTGTAGGGTTTAGGATGTAGGATGTCGTGTTAAGGGCGTATACTTATAGGGTTAAGGCTTGGGATGTTGGATCTAGGTTCAAGGTTTTTAGGGTTCAGGATTCCGTTTCAGCAATTAGGGTGTCGGATCTAGGGTTTAGGGTGCCGATAGTACAAGGACACCCCAAAATGGAGCTGACAAGTCAAGAATCAAATGGGCAAGAACATCGAAATTTAAATTCAAGCAGGTCTTACCCATATGAGGGACATAGAGGGATATGTCCCCAAAACTACCTTGAAATTGGATCTATAGGCCCCATTTGCAGTACTTGGGCTCGATAGGGGCTACTTGTGGAGTCTAGTCTGGGTCTGCCATGTAGGGCTTAGGGTTTCGAAGATTTAGTTTTGAGAGCTTAGGGTTTAGGGGGATTGGGGGTTGGGTTTAGGGCTCACGCAGGGCATGGGCTTTCAGGTTTAGGGTTAACGGAAGTTTGATATTTGCGCTAATGGGCCAAGCCTGAGGGTGTGCGAAGTAATTATCCCTACTTCTTTCAAGCTCTGAACAACCGGACACCCTTCATCCAGAACCCTAAACACGTAGAGTCTTCATGCGCATATTTCAGAAAACTATTCAGCTTACATAGGACCTGAAAAAAACCCTATTTTCAGGTACTCGGACTCCAGGTCCTAAACCCTAAGCCCTAAACCCTAAATGCCCAAACGTAAACCCTACACCCTCAAGAACAAGGCCTGGGCTTCGCATCGCGACATGGCAGAGCTTGCAGGTTAACCCTAGTGACCGGATAAGTTCGGCATTTAGGGTTTAGGGCTTAGGGTTGAACATGTAAGAGTTAGGGTTGACAGTTAAGGGTCTAGGGTCTATAGGGTTTAGGGCTTTTAGGGTTTCGGGCTTAAGGCTTAGGGTTCAAGGTTTAGGGTTCTGATTTCAGGGCTTAGCGTTTAGGGTTCAGGGCTCAGACGGGGTTTAGGGCTTACGGCTTAGGGGGCTCAGGGCTTAGGCTTTAGGGGTCGGGCTTCGGACCCAAAACTTGGGTTTAGACCTCAGGGTTTGGGATCCAGTTCTTGGGGTTTACGGTTTCAGGGCTTTGAGTTTAGGCTCCTGGCTTAGGGTTTAGGGTTTAGGGGCCACCCTCAGGCTCCAAATAGCCCAATGTACATAGCATTTAAGGACTTCTGGACCTTTTGTTGCTATTTTGTCTGAGAACATCTTGGGTGGGTAGTTTCCAGGAGGGTACTCCACATATAAGGCCCACGCCTAACCTGACAACTACCCACCTAGAGATTTCACTGGCTTATAGGCTTAGAGCCCTGGGGTCAACCGAGCATAACTGCACCACATTTCTGACAATGGCATCTCCAAGAAAACCAAACACGGCATCGGAAAAGCAACAACGACGCTTTAGGATTTTGGCTCGTAAGCTTAAGACAATACAAACAATGATGGTATGGCAACGTGCCTCCACACTGCTGTCCATCACATCACTATAGGGTAGTGATCATGAGCAGTAATGTTGCACTCACTTTTGTGCAGAGACCTTCTTTGGTGTGTTTTCGCCGCCGCTTATTCAGGATCTGGCCATTGTTGGGAGGGTCCTGTTTAATGTGTTTTGGTTTTGGGGCCCGGGCCCTAAACATACGGAACCGAGTCCAGTTATTTTGGACGTCTAATTTCCATTTGTATGGTGGTTCTATGGTTAGGGGGGGGGGCACCCCGGTTCTATGGTTAGGGGGGGCACCCCTAAGATAAAGTGAGCCCAACATTGACTAGCTACTAAACTCTGAACTCCAAAATCATCCATTCAAGAGGCTTTGTAAAGAGAGGATTCATTCAGGTCACCCCTGCCCCGGCCCAAATTAAGACCGTCCTACCCTCATATGCCAGCTAAAAGGTCTTGATTTTGACCCTCAACCCTGAACCCTAGACCGCTGGGCGCTGGGGTCCTATTGTCAATCTTTTCTAAGGGTCCAAGTACCTAATAATCATGTGCTTACCCAAAACCTGTACTATAATTACTACTACCAAAACCCTAAGTACGCAATTATTGGGTACATGGGCCCTTAAACCCTAAACCCTGAATATCCACATAGAACCCTATATATTTCTTTTAGAGTGACCCAATAATTGGGCACTTGGACCCTTAGGGATTGTCAATCTCAGCAACCACTCCTAACCCTAAACCCTAAACCCTAAACCCTGCAGGGCGAGGTTTAGGGTTTGGGGCTTGGGATGGCTTGGGGTTTAGGGTTTAGGGTTTAGGGTTTAGGGTTGGGTTGTGATTAACCCTTCTTGGAGGCCAATGGAGCTAAGTAGGGACTCACCCCTAAACAATAACCGTACAAGCGCTTGGGGTAGCTCATATACAGACGATCAAGGGACCCCAAGTTAGGTTAGGCCCCGCACAATTCTATGCAGGTACTACGTTCGATGAACCTCAAGAAAAAAACAGTCTCTGGAAAAAATCTTCGGCTCTTCCCTTGTTTTGGGAAATAATCATATAAAGCATCCTGAGACAGCTTCATCGCGGACCCCCAAGACCTAAAATCCTGGCCCGTAAGCCCTACCTTTATGATAGCTCACTCAACAGACACCAGGTAGAACAGTCCAAGCAAGTGCGCACATTTACGGTTCAGCTGCTCCTTAGCTGACATATGACAAATCCCCTGTCCCCACTCTTCGACACACTAAGTCCTATAACCCTCAGACCTAAAGCCTAAACCCAAAAGACACTAGGCCTCAGCCCTAAACCCCAAGCCCCAATTCCCAAACCGTAAGTCCTCCCAGAGATAATATGGTTTAGATCTTGCTCCCACATTGAAACAATCACATATAGAACCGTTAGTAGGTGGTATGGCTACAATGCCAGTATCTGGGGACCTTTAAACGGGTAGCGGGCAGCAATTGCCCAAGGTATGGGTAGTGATTCTTTTCATCCTCAGCCAGACAAATTGCAGTAGCGCTTTGAGCTTCAGCAGCTCCTGCAATAGGGCATGCTCTGTGCAACAGGCATGTGACGGATTCTCACAGCTGGGTTCCCTTGATGTCAATGACGAGGATGAGTTCGCAGGTTAAGGATGTTAGAGGGCTGCATTGGGATCTAGGTGTCTGGCCCTTTGCCCCAACACCCTGAACCCTACCAAACTAACATATGGGGGTTGTTTGCAAGGTCCTTGTCAAGGAGAGACCATTGGAGATGCACTGCAACAAATGAAGATCCGAATCGAGAAGGAACCTACCTTATGGTCAAAATAATACCCCCCCAAATCCCGAAGAATGGCCCTAAGAAATCCCTTATGATCACATATACCAACTACCACACCATACCATGCCATGCCATGCCATGCCATACCATGCCTGCTGCAGCTTGGCATCTACAGCTTGACTGAGGCCCGGCCACGGATTTTAATTTTTGGGATACAGGATTCTACCGCGAAGATCCTGAAGAATCGTGCAGGACAGAGAATTGATTAGGGTCAGGGGTTTAGGGCTTAGGGGGTAGGGTTTAGGGCTTGTAAGGTTTAGGGTTGTTAAGTCGGTCAGATGCAATGGCAAGTCTCGAGCATCCAACCCCTTTCGCTCAGCTTGCAAGCTTATCTGCGCAATGGGTAGCTGATATCATGACGTGGGTCTGTCTTCCCACATCTTTGCCCACCCCCAGCTTCCAACCCTAAACCCAGTAAATCTACAAACTGAATTGATGGAAGACATGCTGCATCACCTCAAACCACCAAACTCCTGGAAATTGCAATGGTCCGGGGGCTCAAAGACTGCAGTGCTTCTTCATCAGTTGGGGTCGGCCAGGGCAAACGTCATTAAGGCACATAGACATGGCTTCCTGCGGCTTCGGATATGGAAAGGAGACATGCCGTGAGGGAGGGAGGAAGGGCGGGGAGGGAGGGGAAGAGAGAGATCGATTTCATTGATCCGGCCACCTCAAGCTTTCAACTGTCCATCCCAATCTGTAAAGCCTAAACCTTAGACCTTGATCCTCAAAGGGAACTACTTAAAGCAACCCCTGAACAAATCCAAGTGCTCAATTTTCGGCAGCAAAACCATTCAGATACCAGCGTTCGGGCACGTAGACCCTCAGGGCAAAGTTGTTGCCTTACCTGTATAAACCTAAGGGGCTTAGGCTTTAGGGTTAAGGGGTTTAGGGTGCCAAGTACCTAATATCATGTACTTACCCCAAACCTGTACTATCTATTACCAAAACCCTAAGTACCCACTTATTGGATACAGGGACACTAAACCCTAAACACGAGATATCCCTAAATATATATATATATATATAAATCCCCTTAAAGGGGCCCAATTATTGGATACATAGACCCTTAGGAGAAAAATCTGTTTGCAGGCCTCCGGTGAGGCGCTTCTTCCAGCTTTGTAGAGCCTCCAGACCTTTGAATGGTATAGTATAGTAAAGTATAGTATAGTATAGTATATTATAGGGTTCAGGTTTCAGGACTTTAGGTAGGAATGAGTAGCAGTGGTTACTCATGACCGAGATTGCATGCCTGCCTGTACTTGCGAGGTAAACCTATTCGAGGGCATGTAGGAAGGGAAGTGATGAATTCATGCCTTCATTGCATGGCAACTTTATTCTCAAAAGACTTAGTATTGACTGTTGGCTCAGAGGGGTCCTGCCTAATTAGCTTTAAGCCCAGGTGCACACTACGCAAGTGCAAAGACTTTTCAAGGTAGTGGGCATATGGTACAGTTGTCCCGTAAACATGTTCTTGACCTAGGGTTGAAAGTGCAGATGTTTGGTGGGTTTGGGGGCTTGCTCGTGTAGAAGACAGCTACTGGCCAAGGTTTCTGGGGTCAAGTGCTGCATGCAATTTAAAATTGCAATTGGTGTGTAGGCTATGGCGAAGGGAATGCACCATTACGACCTATCGCTGTGTCTATTTGACATTTCGCAATGACATTCTTCTCCGGGAACGCGTGGCTCTGTGAGCAAGATATGCGCCACCTGTTGCTTGTCTTCTGTAGAAAGCAAGTGAAACAACAACCTCCTGCAACCATTCGGTGCCCTTCATGCGTTCGTTGCCAGTTCTGATTGTCACAAACATGCTGCACGTCTCACAAGCCTGGAAAGACCGCGTTACAATTTACTACGGTGATTGGTTATCAACAACACAGTGCAAGCATGCATACATGTGTACGCTTTAACAAGCTCAAATCAGTATTCATTCCCCAGCAATGGTTATCAATTCATTCGAAGATCTCATTTTCTTAAAGTTCAACTTGGTGCCATGTGCAAACCAATGCACATCGCACATGATCGCTGGTATGCAGCATGTGCCTCCACGCGCAACAGGGCACAGCGGGCTAATCGAGGTTGACCGTGAGCTTTGTCCGTTTCATATCCCAGTGCTGAACAAACCCTGCTCATATTACTCCAAGTGAGCTCGAACTCTTTCCACCCAAGAAAGAAACCATAGACTAACTTCCACAAGGCCAGTATGTGCAGTCTTCAATAGGGCTTTCATAGCCCTTACCAAGCCCTTATTTCAAAAGTCTCTTGGCAGCAGTGCAAGTGCTGTTTTCCACATTGGCCAGTTTGCCACCGAACAACGTTGCTCTCAATTACGTGTAGATCCGGCAGAGAGGGCCGGTCAAGCCAGGATGAAAACATTTGTTTTACACCTTCCTCTGTTTGTAAGATATGTTAAAAGTAGAGGATTCTCGGTTGAAGGTCATGGCGCTTAGATGTTTATTTAAGAGCCAACACACAAGAACTTTGACAATTCTCACGTTGGAGCAAACTTCGCATAAATTCCACCATCGCAACAAACCCTGGCAAGCGATAGGCCGTGCATGTCACTTCATTGCGTCCCGTGGCCCTTTCAAATTTTGCAGATCTTGATGTATGTTGTGTCATAGGTTTTTGGGAATTTCACAATAACCAAAATCGCTACTTCACAAAACTGCCCAGGCGAGAAACTCCAGCACAACCATGAGTACCCGTCGTACACGCCTGAGCCAAGAACCTGGCGACCGTGAAGCCCGACCTAGGGTAGGTTTGGGCCCTTTGAAAACTATGTTCTATGGCTTTGCAAGGGTTATCTACTGATTGAGGGCACGAATTTTTCAAAATATTTGCAAAGCTACCCTAATGATTATCCAATGCAGCCCGTGGGTGCATCTTTCCATCATGGACGGATGTGCCAACCTTTCGTGCTAGTGAACCTCTACCTATACGAGCATGTTTTTAAGTTTGAGGTTACCCTAGTTACACCGAAACTACGTGGCACCAAGGCCCCCTACTAAGGGTTAACCCTTTGGTACCTACGATAGGAATATAAGGGAATCCCAGAGGGGTTAAGGGTCTAAGGTCCAAGCTAAGTCCCAAGGAGTTACACCGAAAGGTAACTTACTTTACCACATACTGGGGTGTTTTTCTGAAGCACAAACTACTGGGTCGCTGCAATTAAGGTACTATATTGTGGAGAGCTTGTTAACTACTACTAAATGTATATATATATATATATACACATATTTATTTATACATACGCATGAGGGTAATTTTTGATTAGTTTCTTTACAGTAACCCAGACTAACAAGATCCAGCTGCAACCTTTCTCTGCTGCAGCAGCCAACCGGATGAGCCCAAACAAGTGGTAGAAACCCCAACGCCAGGCCCCATAAAGTCTAAGTTCCCTGAACCATGGGTAGAAATTCTGATTGCAGCTGCGTATTCGGATTATTGATAACAGAAATGAAGAACTATTTTCAAGGAACTTCCAGTAAACCCTAACGCATGTTCAAGATGTAGCGTTTTAATGCACACGATCTATACACCCAACCTAAACCCCTGACACCTTGACTCAAATATCCTCCAACGACTTTGCATCCCTCAGACGGCTCAGGGTTTGAAAGCAGTTTTTGGATCAGTCAGGGGTTGGGGTTTATAAATGGGTTCAGTGGTCTGTAAGCGCGGATTAGCCTCATACAGCTGTACGATAAAGTGAGGCCCTCCTACTTTGCCACGGCAAAGCTAATCACAGGTCTGGTGTGGGCACATGTTCATCTCGTCTTTTGGGAGACAAGACCTTGTATCCAAAATGGAAGTTTTCACAAGTAGATGGACCCAATGTAGATAACAATCTACTAGAACTTCTATTACAGAGACTCCCAACAGAAACCCCTTGGAAACAATGAAACCTGTACATCCCTAAATCTAACTGAGTCCGATCCGTATGTCGGTTTGGGGTGTCAGGTCAGCAAGATGAATGTATGATAGCATCAGGGTTGTAGCAACAATATCATCGGCAGCAGCTGGAGGAAGAGGAGGAGGAGCAGTAGCAGTAGCAGTAGGAGGAGTAGGAGTAGGAGTAGGAGTAGGAGGAGGAGAAGGAGAAGGAGCAGGAGTAGCAGCAGCAGCAGCAGCAGCAGGAGTAGGTGGAGGAGCAGGAGTAAGTTTACGAGTCTGACCTTTGAAGCCTTAGCTGCAAAGAGTTTAAAAGGCTCCAGAGCTAAACTCCAAACCGCCCACTCAATCCTAAACCTAAACTTTGAAACTGCATTCCAGGCACTCGGCCCCAAACTGCATCCTAAACCAGGAACGCTACCAAAGTACCCTCCGCAGAGCACGAATGCCAAAAATTGGGACCTAGGAAAACTCTGTTTAAGGATGGTTTGAGGTTCCTGGCAGACTGCACCGTCAGCCCTGTTCCCCCCCCAAACCCTAGACCCTAAATAGTCGTGTCCATTCTCTTTTCCATATAATCCCCATATAACCCCTACATAACCCCGACCCCCCGCAGCGCTCAGGCTCAAACCCAAGTATATTTTCCGACACAGAAGCGGTGTTGGCGAGTCCCTGCTTTGGATGTCCCTGCGGTGCAAAGTACTGGCAAATTTAGGGGCTTAGGGTTTAGGGTTTAGGGTTCGGGGTTTTACGTTCAGGGCTTCAGGCTTTATAGATTCGGTGCTGCTCCCAACCAGCAACAATCAGAGTACTGAAGCAAAAAGAGTCTCATCGAACTGTTACTGGGTGGGGGCCATACCCAACGTGTACATAGGCTTAGGGCTTAGGGTTTAGGGAGACTTCCCAGAACAACCGCATAGAAACCATTCGGCTATATACTGGATGGGAAGATGACCCCCCTGAGGAGTAATTCCAAGGCGGGGGATGCGGCAGTGTTGGGACTATTTTCTACACTAGCTACAATCGATATGTTCCATATGACTCATGGACATGGCTGCTGTTGGGGAATATGTTTGGGACTGGACTAGATTATCAAGGGCGCCCCTGTTACCACCCTTAGTTGGTCCTTTGGGAACCAAGATTTAGGGCACTGACCCTCACGCATACTCCTAAGGACCCTTTTAGACGTATTCACCAAAATAAGAGATCACAATACATTGCCCACAAGGCTTGAAATGAACCCTAGGAGTCCACTTACCAAATAGCTGGGCACTGTTGGCTATAATACTCATTGCAGTACAGGTTTTTAGGGCAATATATGGCCACTGAGTACTTGGATCGTTAGGAAAAACCCTTTCAGGGGTTCTCCAACGTCGTACCTGCACCCTAAGGTGGGCAGGCCAAATACTTCGGATTGCACTCACGACTCTTGCCCCTAAACCATGAGAACCTTAAGCTTTGCTCTGTACGTTTGGGGTTGCAAAGGGTATCCAGTTCTGAGATATCCGCATATGGGCGTTTCTAAAAAAAGGCTATTGAAGGGACCCCAGGCATGTATAGGCACAAGAGGGGAATTTTGTAGGGGTCCCTATTGAGCTTTAAGTGGAAGACATGAGAAACCTGTAGCCAGTTACTGTAAAGGATATTTGGAGGTTCATGGTGCTTAGTCGCTCCTCTCAACTGGGCGGCTTGCAACCAAACCTCACTTCTAATCCGCCTATCTGAACGCGTATAAGTTGCACAAGTGCATGCAGGCCTATAATCCCAGTAAGAAGGACTTGGATCTCAAGTATGTAAATACTGGCCCGAAACGCATACGCAATGACACAGAAAACCATCAGTCTACAAACTTTCGGAGTCCAGGTAGCTACTGAAAGTCCTTGAACCCTTATTTGCCCTGAATCCAAACTCATCAAGAAACCATACCAACCGCTAAAGCCGATTTATCCCTGTAGCCCCGTCAGATGGACCTTTGTGTAGGTCACTGCAAGTCCCCTGCATCAATCCTAAACCCTAAACCCATAAACCCTAAACACCAACGCCTAAACCTTAAACCCATAAACTACAACTCCCCTGAACCTTCAAGTAGGTCGCCTCGCAACTTCACCGCAGTCCGCGTTCGTGGGCCAGGCCTCGCAGGCACAACAGGCTCCTTGATGCCCTATGCAGTTTAGCATTCCGGGCTTAGGGTTACTCATATAGTTGTTTACTGTTCCATGGTCTTGTCTCTCTACCGAGGTATACTACTACCCACAACCTGAGAACCTACTGTTTAGGGGTGCTAGTGACGGACAAAAAAAAGTCTCCATCACCCGATGTACTGTTGTTGGAGGAATTCTTGCACCACATAGGGTCGCTTCACTGCTGTAATTTCTGGAACTCAAGGGACTTAGGGTGGCGCAGGGTTTCCTCTACGAATAATATGTTACACAAACAGAATTCCTGAGCAATGCAGCAACTGGGGGGCTGATGGTTCAGAGTTGAATCGCTTCTGGAACAGGCTTTGGACGTTGATGACGGTGTAGAATGTTTCCTTACCTCACCAGAATCCATGGACTCAACTAGCAAGGCTCTATAGTCCCCAATACCATATGCTTTTAGGGCTTAGGATTTAGGGCATAGCCTCCATTGCCTCCGGACCTACAGCCCTAATATGTTTGAGTCCTTGACACCTGCGGCTTATGCAATCACACCTGAAAGCCACCCGTCGGATGATCTTCGAGAGTCTGCCGGCCTTCTCCGGAATCTCGGGGAAGATTCGTGCCCGTGGAGGCCCGCTGTGCTTGTCCACCTTGCGCTGGCGCGGCAAACGGCTAACAGCGGGTCCCAAGACTTGACACGGTCCCAAGGCTTGTTGTAGGGGCCTGAATAATTACCTATACTATGGGACTATGGTTCCATGTTCCTTGTATAATTACAGTATGAGGTACCTCAAATCGACCTCAAAATCATATGGGTAATTATTTAGGCTTCTGTAGTAGACGCCAATTTGGCAGATTCGTTTTTTTGTCAGTCATGAAGTGAGCGCAGGAAATGGCACGCCTAGAACAGACCTGGAGTATTCACTTCCCTCTGACCTTTGTTTCCTATCCTACAGAGTCTTAAGGATTCAGGGTATGTGAGCAGGTTCAGTACAACACGGCAAGCCTAATTAGAACATCCTCTCGATCTCACCCTCCATTCGAGAGGTTGAGAAGTTTCGGTCCATGCTCCTGGGCTTGGGCTGCTGAGGCCGCTATCGGTCACGCGGCTAAACCCGATTTTGGGGCACAACTGTCCCCACCTATCCCTTAACCCTGAAACCTAAATACCTGCCATTTCAAGCATAAGCAGCCATGATGCTCAGAATCCGACGGCGAGGGCGTAGGAAGCAAGCTTTGAGAAGCACACCCTAGAAGCGGCCAAGGGTCCAAAAGGGTGCGTCCCAACTTCTGCACTTGTGTGGCCCAAGGGCATATAGGAATGTGAATACATGGTAGTTTGAGCAAATGTCATCCCACCCCAAACCCTAAACCATAAACCCTAAACATACTTATATGTCTACATGAATATGTACGTATGAATACAGGCACCTGGATTCTTCTCATTGAAGAAAATCTGCCCAACCCTCAACCTTCAAGCTCTTTGCTCAGACCCTGCACTTTAAGCTCCACCTTCGCCTCCCATTCAGTGTACGTTGTGGCGCGCCTGAGCGTTTCTTCGAGCTGTTGGGAACCTTCCTGCTTCAAATAAAGGGGCTGTTAACCAGGCTGTCACACCCCCAGCTACCCTGCGGTGATGCCATGTGGGGCCTAGTAGTCATTGACAGCCGTCAGATATACCTTTCCTAGTTACTGGATTCCTTAACAGAAACCCTGCACATTCTTCTTTGCTAGGTTCCCGCACTCTGCATTGCGTTGTGACAATCTTACGCTAAGGGTTCAAATACCCAGAAGTGTGACATACACGTATTGCCTGACTGTCACCTAGCCGTACTGTGGGTGACGCTTCCAGATCTTGCACTCAGTAAGAACGACGGAACGCCTAAAAGCGCTCTCACATCCCTGTAAACCAGTTGTAGTTTTATAAGGCCTTCCTAAAACCAGACCCAATCTTTTTCAACTACCTATATGGCTATCTGGGCCTTTAAAATGTGATTGTCCGACGCTATCAGCAAGACCGATGGAACAACGTATCAGCTTCATATATTACCCTGACGTCTAATGGTTCAGGGGTGTAGAAGTTCTGTAGAAGCCCCATATGTCCCTGCAGATTGGTGACTTGACATGTACTGAACCAACATAGGTGGCTTCAAGAAAACCCTTAAGATTGAAGGTTACGAGCCATTTGGCAAAATGTCTTACTTGAAGCAAGCTTCACGGGTCTTACTAGTTATGCTCAACTGGACTTATATGCCTTCTTACCCCACTTGTAACCGGGAAAACCCGTGTAGGCCCAGCTGAAGAGAGGATAAATAGAACGTGCATGAATATATATATATCTATATCTATATAAACCTTAAAGCATACAACTGCAAATCAAACCTTAAAACCCTAAACCTGAACTAGCCCGCCACCAAGTCCCATGAACATCCAAGTAGACCTGTCACCCTATATACTAAAAGCTCACCTCTAACCCCTAAACCCTCAACCCTAAACCTCAAGCCTCAACCCCTAAACCCTAAAAATTAGCCGCGTCTCAGGCCGTTGCCGTATGCAGCACAGAGCAAAAGGATCCTGGATCCACACCATGTTCCCGTTCCCAGTTACACGATTTAGGGTTTAGGACTTAGGGTTTTCGGGCTTAGGATTTAGGGTTCGGGATTTAAGGCTCGAGGCTTAGGTTTTAGGGTTTAGGGCTTAGGGTTTAAGGTGGTAGGGCTTAGGGTTTAGGATTAGGGTTTAGGGCTTAGGATAGCGGATGGCCATGCACATCTAAGAGTTGATGAGGATTAGGGGTTCACAGCATCCCACTGCGATTCTAGGCGCCTGTCCTCTGTCTGAAGGGATTTGCATGGGAACCCGAAGCTGGGAAACCCAGGAATATATTAGGAATGTACCTACCTCAGCACTTATATGACTACTATAGTATAATAAAGTTTCAGGTTTAGGGGTTTAGGGTTTAGAATCTTGGGATTTCCTCTTTGGGGTTCCCATTAAAGTCCCTCTGCGGTCAGCTGCAGCAAGTAAACCTGGACCCTAAACCCTAACCTCACAAAGGCCCACGTCCGGAGGCTGCAAAAGTCTAGGGGTTTAAGGTTTAGGGTCACATGTTTGAAGTTCTGTGTTGCAGAGGCCAAGAAAAGACAAAACCCTACACCTTAAGGCCCTAAAACCCTCAACCCGAAAACCCCAAACCCAAAACCCTAAAACCCTCAACCCTAACCCTAAACAAACAAGTGGACAGGGATATCCCACTGTTAGCCCTTTACAAGCACCCCAGAGGGCAGAGATGTCCCCCAAAACATGCTTATCTCAATGGGGCTTAGGGAATGAGGGAATAGGGTTTAGGGTTCAGGCTTTAGGGTTTGTACTATATGGAGATTATGTAGGTATTATATGCCCTTACTCCGACTAACCTCCAGCAAGCTGTGCTTAGTACGTTCTGTTCCTGTGTCAGTTCAGGGAATTGTAGATTTGGGGAAGCTCCATCTGAAGGACAGAACAATTTTTACGCCAGAACCATTCTTTGACACCAGGGCTGCTATTCAGAGATGGGCATTTCTGGAAGCAGGATGGTCTTGGGGACACCGGGTACATGTGGAGATCCCTTAAGATCTCTTAGGAACTTTGAAGGAAAATCAAGTTGAGCAACTCTCAGATGGCTACAAGACAACCTCTTCAGCATGAAGTGCCTGGCCGATTAGGAACGGCACGCATCTGCAGTGATGCACAGTCGGCGATCATTAACACCTTTCGCTCCCAATATGATACACTTCCCAACCCCGCCTATCAAAATCTGCTCCCAATACCACAGGTCTCTCCCAGTGAATATGGAACCCTAAGCCCTAAACCCTGGTTGGGGGTTCTGGTTGTTTTTCTGTTAAGGGAAAGGCATGTATAGGCTGGGCGAGGTGAACCGGCTGTGTTTGAGTACTTGGAACTTAAGAGCTCTTGTTGAAGGCTCAACAATCAGGGTTACGACGTTTGGGGATATGTAAGGGAGGACCTCTATCCCAAAGGGTCCGTGTAGGTGCTTAAGCGCCTACAGAGTAACCCCCTTTGGGTCCCAAGTACTTAGCGTATATCTACATTGCATCTAAAGGTTGTTCGGAAACCCTAAACCCTTCAACCCTAAACCCTAAACCCATAAATCGTCACGGCCCTCCTTGCAGGTCGGATCCGACTTGAGGAGTTCTTCCCGGAGCTCGTTCACAAGAACGACCTTCGAGTTGCTCGGAGGTTCAGGGTAGTAACAACCTATTTGTACCTGTACTTATAACCCAACTATAACCCCCTAGTGCCCTGATATGGTTGTTATTTGGGATATAAATTCTAGTATGTTTGGGATATAAGTACAAGAATAATCGGGTTAGAACTGCCGGGAACCTTCAAGAAGAGCTTGGGCTCAAGGCTGGTGCTTCAACATGTGGATCTCCTCTGGGGCTTCGCAAGAAGGTTTAGGTATAGAATGGTATAGATAAGGTCTCAAAGGGCTTGTTGGGTTCAAGGCCCGGCTTCAGGTCTTAACGAGGGTTCTCACTCCACTGTGGCTGTGGGTCCCTTTAACTCTTGTGGTGGTGTAGTACACAACAAGGCTTTATGAGTGGCGCTGTTGTCACGTTGGGGTCTGCTTTGGGATTGTACGTGAGGCTGTCAAAGTACGGTTCCTATTCGGGTACCCGTACCAAGCACGTTAAATTTCATTGGAGGGCCATATTATACTAGAGACCCCCCAAAACGACCACAATCAACCATAGGATTGCTCTCAGAAACTGGCTTTGTGGCCCTGCTGCCCTTCAGCACATGTACCCAGACCCCTAAAGCATCCAAGGATGGAACCTCCCAACAATCACCTGGTTTCCCAAATGTAGTAATGCGGGGGAGAGGTGGGGGTTCCTATTTTTTGGATTCTTTAGGGGGTCTGGGTATGGCCTAAACCCCATGCCTTGCAAACCTGACCCAGAGAACTCAAGCTCTACACGCTTATACTTTTATCCCTAGACCCCCAAACCCAAGCCCTAAACCTGTAAAAATCCGAGACCCTGAGCCCTGAACCCCTAAACCCAAAACCCTCAAGTTTCAGCTCAAAACCTATATAAGTCCGAAACCTTAAGTCCTAAACCCCTACACCCCTAAACCCCTAAACCCCAAACCTTAAAGCCTGAGCCAATCCTTGCAGGGATTGCCTCGAAGTCTTCTGCTGCTACTGCTGCTGTGATTACGCGAATAGGGTTCATGGCGCGTGATCCAACTGTCCCGTAGTTGCCAAACAAGGCCATTGCTGCTTGAATCAGATGCCTAGGCATGCGGCGGGAATGTAGCTGAATTCCTAATAGGGAATACTAGTATTAATAGTAATAGTTATAATAGTAACAATAGTAATAATAATAATAGTAATAATGGTAATAATAGTAATAATAGGGATCATTAGGTGAAGCGCGCGTAACAGCACTTGGCTCCGGCATTTCACACAGGCCACGTTTGCCTCGGCACCAGCGTCTGGCAGCAGAACGCCCTAAAACCCAAAACTGAAAGGCCCTAAACGCCTAGAACCCAAACCCTAAACCCAAAAGATTCGCTACACTCCACCTGAGCCCGACGCCTCGTCTGGCGCGAGTCCATAGCGTTGCATCGTAGCCTCAGAGGGAAGGAGTTTGGGGTTTAGGGGTTTAGGGGTTTAGGCGTTCAGGGGTGTAGGGTTTAGCCCTAAGGGTCCAAGTACCCAAATGAGGGTCCAAGTACCAGCTTTTAGGAGGTTATAGGGATATGTGGGGATATTTAGGTTTAAGGGTCCAAGTCCCTAAACACAAGGAATTTAGATCCCAAAGACCATTCAGGCTCTAGGCATTTGGAGCTTCAGGCGCAGGGTTCAGGGGCTTTGTCAACCCCGGCGGAATTACTAGCATCCCCCTGAATAACCCCTATAATACTCCACTATATTATCCCCCATATATACCCACCCAGGAAGGAGTTTAGGCTATGGCTCACATGCCCAGCGGAGTCTCGGGGGTCCTTCGCCCTGTTCCTAGAACTACCATCGGTCTCTCAGCTCGTTTAGGGTTTAGGGTTTAGAGTTGGGGGTGTCATCATTGGTGCCCTTCTCACCCCTGCCATCTTTCTTGCCATCCCTCACATCTACCACACCCAGCTTGTCCCACAGTGCGTCTTCACCACCATCACAGGGTTTAGAGTTTACAGTTTTGGGTCGATTGATTGCAAGAACTCGTAACCCCCAGAGCTGAAACCCTAAACCATGCAAGGATTGCTTGACGTGTTTGATTGCTTTTCTTCTTGTCCGCTTGTGCCTTTGCGGAGACTTGGATACATGAGGTTTTGTGGGAAGCTATGGGCTTCGCTGCCGGTGATCGCTGTTGAGTGGTACCTTAAAAATCCAAGTACCCAAATATTTGCGTTTTGAATACCCAAACCCTTTCAGATACCCAAACCCTTTCAGATTATTGTACTTGGGACCCTGAGCCCTATTATTTGGGTAGGTACCTTGGACCTTTCAACCCTACATATCCATCCCTACATGGGACTTTCCCGAAATAGGGGGACCCCAATATAGACCCCCAAAAGGTACCCCTAATTTTGGGAAACCCCCACATATCTCTATAACTCCCTCAAAACCCTATAACTTGGGTACGTGGACTCTCTGGGGTATTTGAACTCCCAAGAAGGAGGGTTGTGCAGCAACTTACGGGTATAGGGCTTAGGGTTTAGGGTATAGGGCTTAAGGTTTAGGGTTTGGGGAGGAGGGCGGTTAGCAGGGAATGGATGAACCCATCTTTGTAGCATATCCTACTAACCACCAATAAGTACAGGCGAGGATAAAGACCCACTCCACACTAACCCTCGACCCTCAGCCCTTAATTGGGTGCGAGGCACAACCTGGCCAAGATGTGAGTGAACGGTTTAGACACAGGAATTTCAATTTTACAGTGTAGGGCCTACAAAGGCTCGCGGTTCAGGGTATAAGGTCTACAGGCTTTAGCGCTTAGGGTTTCAAACCTAGGGTTGAAGGTTTACCCTCAGGGTCCAAGAACGCAACATTTAGGTCCCTTTGAAAGGGATATCTAGGGATATATATTGTTTAGGGTTTGGGTTAGCATTTGGGGTGCTTGGGATATTGGGTACCGGTCATTATAGTACAGGTTTGGGGTAAGTATATGATTATTGGGTACTTGGACCCCGATAATAGGGTTAGGTGATACACGGCTGCAAAAGCTTCACATTAATTCGTGTTGAGGAGTGTGTCTTGTGTTGCTCAAAGAAGGGTTGCATCCTGCTTAATTTCCACCGTCTACCACCTAAATGGAAGTTCAGTCTATTGCTAATTGGGCCCTAAACCCTAAACCCTAAACCCTAAACTATGGGTGTGTAGACTGCTGTTTATCTTGAGATGCGGGCAATCCAAATGCCGAAGTGCGGTTCGCCAACAAACTCTAGGAGCTGTCAGATCTCCACATTCCCAAGTAAGAACAACATCCTATATTCTAAAACCCCCAAAACTTTGGCCCTGAAAAATACCTAAACCCCTAAAGTAGGTAAAATAATGGCCCAAAACCCCTAAATATAGCCCAAAAGGCCATTATTCTACATACTTTGGAGGTCCAGGTAGAGTATCTACCCACTTCCTTTTCCATTTCTTGAAGGCCTTACCAAGGTTTCAGGGTCCCAAATATCATTCCGATCGTGGCATTTGGGACCTTGAACCTTTGGACCCTTGGTTTAGGGTTTAGGGTTTAAGGGTTTAAGGGTTTAGGGCTTAGGGTTTAGGGTTTAGGGTTTAGGGTTTAAGGGTTTAGGGTTTAGGGAAGCCCCAAGCCCCAAAATCACACTGAGAACACCTCATGGTCGGGCCCCAGGCTTCCAACGGCTCCCAACGCCTCATTCAAGGTTTGATGGTGCTCATGGGAGCGTGGAAAAAAACCAGGAAACTTCCATGTGAATGCACTCCGTACCCCCGATGGTATCATATTGGGAGCATCTGTTATCAGGAGGTCTGGGGGGGAGGGGGGGGGTGGTGGTGGTACAATTCTAGGGGTGTGATTGTCGGGGCCGAACCTAATCTCAGGAATGAGATGGGCCTAATACTTGCCAATAGTACTTCTGAGGTCTCGGACTACGGGCTAGGGTTGGGGGTCCTAATCTAGGGCCTAAGCAGTTGCTACTGTTGTGTGAAGGTCTATTTGCTTGGCACGCTATCTCACAGAGTCTAATAATCGTGAGGCCAAGGCGGGTCTTGTTGGAGTTTGATGTTTTGTTAGGTCTGTAATCACCAGTGGTGGAAAATCAAATGGACAAGAAATTAGAACATTCAATTAAGTCTGGGTTTATACTGGGACCTTAGCCTCTGAACCCTGTGCCCGAACCCTGAAACCAAGCGTAGAGGTAGACTCTATAATCCTAAGCCCTATACCGTAAACGGAACCAGCCTCCGTAAATTTGCTTCTTCCAGCGCGGCCAGTTGCTGCAGCTCTCTCCGATGCCAGAGTTTCCACTGCAGGGCCTTTGGTATGGTTGTTGGGGCTTATGAGGTTTTGGGGTTATTGGGCCGGGGTTTTGGGTTAAGGGTTTGGGGCTTAGCTTTTAGGGCTTGGGCTGTAGGTCTCACAAACTATCTGAGGGCGGGTCCCCTTGCAATTGAGAGAATAAAGGACATTAGCAAATGTCATCCCAACCAAGGTGCCACTCCGCTTGGGACTTGGGTGCTATTACCCCTTATTTAAAAGTGCATGTGCCGATCATGCTTATATTCTCTGGTTATCTGAACCAAAACAATGGCGCACTGTACTCACCCGGCCAGGGAATGACAAATCATAGCCAGGGAACGCCCAAGGGCACGCCGAGTACCCGCTGCTGCCCGCCCTTCATGAAGTGATACTTCCTGGCATATGCATTATGGGCCGCAGTGTCATTATGAGAGTCTACCAAGATGGGAGCACGTTGACTAATTCCAGAGATGCATGGAGTTGAGTGTGAGAGTGAGAGTGAGGAAGGGAGAGAGAGAGAGAGAGAGAGTCAACCGCAGTCCTTGTTCCTTGGCAGGATTGTGTACCGATCGATAGGAGAAACTGCCGCATAGAAAGGCTCTAAGTACCTGTATACAAGTAGGGCTTACGGGGTTCTGCGGAGATTGTGAAGGATTTACACATGTAGAAAGCTCAGAAAAACAAAGTTCCCACTCACCTTTTTGCACAGTTATAGACGAACTTGAGAAACACCTATGTAGAAACCAAACCGAAGTTCTTCCGCCGGGACTAGAACTGTAGGCTGTAGGCAGGCAGAATGACACCCTGGCATCACATCTGAAAAAACATGCTGGTGGAACGCACATGCGTGATGCGCATGGAGATTCAAGGGATTAAGCAACTGCTTTTGGGTGGGTGGGAAATGTTCTCCAATATGATGGGGCAGCCTATATCAAGGCCAGTATGAAGAATTGTAGGCGGGACTCGAAAATCCAGCTCGAAGGTATAAATGCTACATCTCATACACCCCTAAACCCTAAACCCTCCCTAAGTAGCGAAATGGAACTACGCCTGCCACGGGCTCATCGCAAGCAATTCCGCCGGCGATGCAGGATGGATTTCCCATAACACTCACCTTCCTTGGCAGCAAGGTTGCGACGTGCTATAAGGTTCTTTGTTTCTCAGGTTTAAGGCTTATAGGGTTTCAGGGTTCAGGGCTTATTATAAAGTCCACAGTTGGATCTTTAGGCTCGCATGTCTTGAGGGTTTTGGATTGTGGGAGCTGAAAAGGCCAGAAAGCTTCGGTTTCACTGGCAGGCTGTAAGCGCTCAGGTTATTTAGACCTGTGGTCATGGTAGATGCTAACTTCGTAAAGATGATGGGCGGCTGAACCGAACAACTCGAAATTTCAGGTTCCTGGTGCAGAGACTCTACACAAGAACGCATTTCTGAAAGTTCAGATATGCTCACGCAGGGCATGGCTTTGCAAACACTTCCCTGACTTGACATCCTAAACCCTAGACCCTAAGCCTGTCAGGCGAGAAAATGTGGCGTTTCAGACGCGTGCTGCAGCAGTTCCATGTCAAATATGGTCCATAGTCCAGGCTCCTTAAGGGGGTTATATAGGGGATTGTACGGGGGAGTACTATAGGGGTTATTAAGGGGGATACTAGGAGTTCAGACGAAAGCTCATGTACCCCGCAGCAAGTTTGTACTACATGGTGGGTCGTTGTGGTCTCTCATGCATCTCATGCAGTGCAGTACGAATAGTTCAGAATGTCCATCCTAGTCTTCGTTGTGGATTAAGATCTTCTTTTTAACTCTAAAACCCCAAACCCTAAACATACAGGAATCAAGAGCAGACTAGGGATTCTCTTGGGAAGTTCTCATTTTATGACAGATGTACTATAAGACATGCATGTGGAGAATACAGGGTTAACCCTAAAGCCTTGACCCTAGACCCCGATCCTGAGCCCTGACCTGTAGACCCTAAACCTCAAGCCCGAAACCTTAGCCACGGGTATGGGTTGTGACACTGGTGAAGCCCGCCCCCGCCGAACCCTGCTGAAATTCCAAAAGCTCCTAGCCCGAAAAAGGGAAAACCTACCCCCAAACCTTAAACTTACTGGGGGTTATCAGGGAACCCTAGACCCAAAACCGCGCAATAAAGGAAGGCATCATGACTAAATAATCCCTATATAACATATTCGCTTATTCACCACAAAGCACCAGCATCCTAACCTTCAACTAAAGAGTGGAGCCAGCGGCCAAGGGTCCAGGCATGCCGTATACAGCTCGCTCAGCCTCTGAAGTTCCCTAAACACTAAACCCTGAAACCCTAAACCCTAAAACCCTAAAACCTTAACCCTAAACCCTGAAACCCTAAAACCTAAAACCTTAACCCTAAACCCTGAAACCCTGAAAACCCAAACCCTGAATCCTAAAA